ATAAAATAAAATAGCGAGATGAAAATAAAAATGAGTTGTATCGAACTATCGTTAGATAAATTATTAAATCCCTATTGTCAATAGTTTTTCTTTACTAAAGTAACTTATCCCCCATTTTCGTTTACTCTTTCTTTCATTTATTGAAATTCGACTATTTAGGCTATGTCTGTCCGCGTATTATTTATTATTATTATTATTATTATAATAATATATACTCTTATGGCGATATAACGTCATCGTTAATATTAGAATTGAGAAAAATCCTAATCCTTTTCCGTATAAGCTTGTTCAGTAACCTGCTTTTAATATATTATCGCGTGCTCGTAGGTAATTCGTTTGATATTACACATATATATATATACATATGTGTAAATACACATATGTGTTTATAATATTCGCGTTCTTCTACTTCTATATCTCGTGTCTCGTAATTTCGCACGTAACCGGGACTTTAGGATGTCGAGCTTTACGCGATTACCGGAACACCTACGCTAAGCTCACATTACTTCCGCTTGCATACATCATTCGTGGAACGAGCGTGATTACAAATTTTCATAATAATCTTTCGTGTAATACGCGTGTTTTAAAAGGAAAGCAATCGTTCGCGTGTATTTTCTTCGTCCTATGGAAATAAATTATTACGAGAACGCGCGGTGGTTTGTTTTATAAATATGAATAAATAAAGAAATGCATTTTTTTATTCCCCTTGCACTCGTTTTGTTCGCCAAAAAAAAAATATCAAACAATAATATGGATACAATAATTTTTCTTTTCAAGATAATAATTAACATTAAATTTAAATGTTTCCTAATATTTCATATTAAAAATCGTTTAACTAGTATACCTTGGAATATTTTTATTATTTCAACAATATCGTTCGTTAAAAATTAATAACGATTGCTTCCCTTTAATATTAAATGGAAAGTAAATTAGCCAAGAGATTTTAATGATGTCGACAATTATTATCAATGACGATTATAACTATTGTTTCAATTCTATACAAAACGATATTAAGCATGTATGTTTTCTCGAGTAAAGTATTGTTTTTTAAACGATATATTTATACTACAAGAAAAAAAAAAATATATGCATAACTTCTCTTCACAGAGATGCATACAGATGCATACATACATGTTAACGCATATTGTTATATCACATGAACGCAAAAAAAATGTTGAGAATTATACCCCATAATTCGATTCGAACGCATACACGATATTACCTTCCATCTTTTCATAATTTCAATTCTATCAATACTATCATACTATTATTCTCGAGACATGTGTTGGAAGCACGACAACTAAAGAGGGATTAAAAAATAAGAGGAAATATCCTAGGATCGATAAAGGTAGAAGAGGATATTCCATTATACCGTCATTTTTCATCCCCCTTTCTTTTTTTAAATCCGGATCTTTAAGTCCATCATCATCGTCATCCTAAATTCGCTAGACCTAAAACCTCTTGGCAACTTTCCACACACACACACAGGTTCCACTTATACTTGGTAATATGCAAATGAAAATAATCCTGAGAAAAGGTCGAACGGGTTTAGGAGGGTGGGGGGAGGAGGGGTAAACGTGATGGGGAAGTCGAGTATAATCTATAGAAAGAATATATATATATAATATATATATTTAAGATAGAAAGGGTTGTATATTCTATTTTTTTTTTTTCTGCCGAGTCGGCCAGCCGCTCGGACGAAATTCTTCCTCGTCATGTTGGAAAATGATTGGTTGGTTGGTTGGTTGGTTTATTGGTTGGTTGGTTGCTTCTTGGCAAACGTCAGGCTAACGAAATACACGATACACCACGTTCGATTTTTGTAACGTCGCCAAAAACTTCGATCTTTTGCTATAGGACATGCATTCCTCGTTGTTTTTTTGTGTTTCTTCTTTTTTTTTTTTTTTTTTTTTTTTTTTTTTTTTTCATTATTTCTTTCTCTCTCTCTCTTTTCCTGTCTGTCTATCTCTTCATCGAAACTATCAGATTGAAGTATAATATATCACTAGGACTCTAGTGATAAATTATCTTTAAGAGACTGTTCTTTTTTTTTTCTTCTTCTTCCCCATTTCCCGTTTAGATTTTTGATCGTTGTTCGGCTTATCTATCTCCTTTTATATATTTCACAATTTTACGATATTATTATCTCTCATCTTTATCTATCTATCTATCTATCTATCTATCTATCTATTTATCTATCTATCTATCTATCGGCTTGAATCTTTTATAGAAAATGGTCTCAGGAATGCTCGAACTAGATTTAAGAGCACCTTTGAAAGTCAGCTGCTCGACTACTTTTGGAACACGTTGCCTTTTACTTGTTTTTTTTGTTCTTTTTCTTTTTCTTTTGTCCTCTCCCCTTTCTTTATTAACTTCATCCATCCATTTATTCTTTCTTAGTTCACCGAATCCTACGAAAAGGCAAATGAAAATGGGAGTGTCGAGAAAAAAGAAAAAGAAACAAACAAGGGTATTAATAGTAAAGTAACGGCACATTAATTTCGTTCGTTATCACTTCCATAATAATTCATTTATCTCTATTTCTCTTGAAGAAATTCGAGATAACGAAGCGAATATTCATGGTGATTCCGTGATGTCTTCTTACACGTGATGCAGCAGCAGCAGTAGTAGCAGCAGCAGCAGCAGCAACAGTAATAGCAAATAGGCGTAGATATTATCATATACGAGGTTGGAATATGTTACCCATCATCAGGCCACCATCATTTATGTGTGTACGTTCGAATAGCATGGTAATTATTTCCTGATCATGGGGGGGTGTGTATACGACATAATGACGTAACAAAGATGACGATTTCCTCGTATTCATTTCTAAAGTCTATGTATATAATGCTGCATGTGTATATATATATATATATGTGTGGTGTGTGCATGTTAATATATATATACACTTTCGAATAATTAAAGTAACTACGTAAGAAAATCAAATAATAATTGCGTACGAGGAAAAGTAATCAATTAAATTGGGAGGATTATGGAAGGAAGAGAAGATATCGATTGTTAATCCTAAAAATCCGACTGAGAAGTGATCAAACCACTCTCAGCCGTTTCCTCGCGTCGTCATAAGGGCCTGGTTACTTCACCGCACTCACATTCGCAGTGCATCGGATAACCTCGCCTATCCACGCGGTTGCTGATCGAGTGGTCACTGGAACAGAAAGAAGAATGATAGTCAAGATTTAATAAACGACAGATAACTAAACTTTTTTTGGGTTTTCTTTTTTTTCTTTTTTTTTTTATCTATCTATCTATTTGACCTGACCTATATAAACGTTTTCTCGTTGCTGTTTACATCGATGTTCTTTCACGGACATCTGTTATCATCGTTCGACAAATGCATATACCATTCTATATCTGCATATATATGTTTGTTTCCTTACACTTGCATCTAGCCTAGCCTAGCTAGCTAGACAAATAAATTGTATTATTTTCAACAAAAAAGTATAATACACATAAGTCGAAATATGAAACAGTTAAACAAGAGGAGAAAACATTTCATTAATTTTTTAATTCATTTCAATTCATTTTAAATATATTTTTTCCCAAATGTTTTATTACAAATTTCAATATACCGATATGGCAAATGAACGTGCTAGAAACGGACGTAGTTAGGAAATATAGAACGTGTACGTAATTGTCGGTCAATGCAGCAACGTAATGCATAAGTAATGTACAACGGAAGAGCTACCGACACATCACGAATGTCACATATTCAACCTGACCGACATACTTACGATTAACTGATCTATCTATCACGTGTTCTAATAGATGATTTATTCGTTAATCGTAACTTTCGTAAAAATTCTATTCGATAGTTCGAACGAACTAACGTATACAATAATTCTGATTGAAACGTTCAAATATATGAACATTTCAATGGAATTTAATATTAACCAATACCCATCCATTGAACCAACGTGATCTGATCCTTTTCCACTAACCATCGATTGATTTTACAAAACTTCAATATTACTATTATTATTCGTTACTCTTTTTTTAATGAATTCCCTCTCTTCCATTGTCGCGAATCTCAATAGGGGGTAGAAATGTTTTTAACCTAAATTCCAAAGTACGCGAGACCCTTTACTGATTAAGTAGGCGATGGAAAGAATAGATGATGGCCAAACTCTGGTCACAAAGGGTCTATTGTCAGATAGAAGAGAGGTTACTAACGTGGATAGGCAAACGTACTATGGTGTACTTCCTTCGACAAAACGGAGCAAACTAGAAGTGTCTGTTATATCTTTTTAGAACTATCTATTTCTATGGAACTCGAGCCTTAAGAATATTGCATATTCATTATCTGAACAGTTTCATCGTGATAAGGCGTTCAATAATACACATACTCTGATTTTCTCTTTCATTCTCTCTCTCTCTCTCTCTCTCTCTCTCTCTCTTTGTGAACGACTACGTCGGCCTGTGAGATTTTACAATGGCTGTCGTGGGGGTCGTAACATTCTACATAGGCCGAGAGGGAAATTAAAGAGCGGAATCGAAAGAAACCAACTACTACAACGACAACAAAGAAAAGAAAAAGAAAGAGAGGAAGAATATCAAGTAAAAAGAATCCGAGAAAGATGGATGATTGTGTAATCTGTGCACCTAGATGAGAAAAGAAGAAAGAAAAAAAGAAAGAGAAAAAAAAAATTATTCTAGATAGTCACGCGTAACCCTGACCCACATTATATATTCAAGAGAAGTAAGAACGAATAACTATAGTATTATTCGACTATAGTAAGCCGATTTTATCAGGTGGACGTCCACGCGCGTTATGACTCAATAATACTAACTCATAATATCGCGTGTTGCACGCATTAAACACCTATCTGGACTTCTTCAATTACGTGCCTCGAATCTATGGTTATTTATCATTTTTGGTTTTTTTCATTTGTAATTAAAGAAAAACGTAAGTTTATCGTTGAACTCGGACTAATTCAAATCCTCGAACTAATCTCAACTTAACGATAACAAAATCAAACTAGTAATCAATCATTTCTAATTTATTTTTCAATCCTTTTTTAAAGTTACACTAATAAAGAATAAAATATATCAACGTGTTAGTATAATTCGAATACAATCAGTCAAAGGGGGGTGGGAGGGATGATTTTGAATGAAAAAAATTAAATCAAAAAAATCAGGTAATCTTGTTTTTATATTTACAAAGATAATTGAGATAATTCTAACTTTCTACTTTAATAAATCCTACACCGCACAATGAGAGGAAAAAGGATTAAAAGAACCTAAAAGTCTAGCTATTTAGAATGGATGTCGTAACGATGAGTGAAATAAGAACAAGGTCCATAAGAAAAATAAAAAAGGATAGAGAAGAAGCTTATCCGTATCCTGTCAGACTCATGCTTCTCACTGAACGACACGGCATTATATCCGGGCACACTTTAATAAACGTCTCTCCTCCGACAAATCCAATTTCGTATTACGGTCGTCAGCATTGAGCTTAGACGATCTTAAAATTTATATCATTCGCTACTCCAACTGCTCGCCGTGATCGTAACTTTTCCTTTCAAATGAAAGAAAATATCTACTGGAAAAAAGAAAAAAAAAAAAATATCTTCCTTCTATGTGTGTTTTTGTTGTCTCTTTTCTCTCTTTTTCTCTCTTTAAAAAACATTACTGAAATTTACTGATAGTAGTAACCCTTCCTACAATACAGTTTCGTTATAACATGATTCATAAATTCTGAGGAATCTTTTGTACAATATGCAATACTTTGGATAACATTGATTTTTGCAGATAACATATTTAAAAAATTCAATTATCTAATAATGACTCGAGATGGAAATAATATATTCAGGGTTTCATATAACAAGGTTTCATGCAACATGGTATTTTTTAGGAACCTATCTACAATTTTATAGGAAGAGTTTTCTTGTATATATATCGTTGGCATTTTAAAAAATGTATAATACCACTATCGACGTAGAAATATGTGTTCAAAATATAATAAGAAATTTAGAAGAAATACACAGGTGATCCCCTTGACACCACCGTGGCTGAGGGGGAAGATAGGGGATTCAAACTTTTCTTCAGGAAAGGTTTTACTACGAGGAAAAATGTTAGACAAGTTTCTATATTTTTTTTTCTTCTTCTTCTTTTTCTTTGATCCCATTGATATGATAAACAAAATTCGCACGATATTTGCTTATACATAATAAACAAAATATTTTTGATAGACATTTAAGGAACAACCGTTTTCCCTCCTACCCCTACCCAACCCCCTGTTCCTCAGTTATCCTTTGAATCCCACCCTTTCACAAGGAAAATTAGGATATTTCTGATCGTAGTCGCTTTTGAGAGTAACTCGTGCGTGTCTGGCCTAGTTAGCGTGATCCAAACGAACTTACGTTAACCACTAGAAACAGAAAGAGAGAGAGAAAGAGAAAGAGAGAACATTAGATTCCCGTTCTTGGTTTTGTTAGTACACACGTCTTACTTCGATTAATCTATAACTCGTTTTATCTTCACAGCACACGATGTTATAATATATTATATATAATACTCAATTTATTTTCGAAAGAAAAAACTTTCAAGTTTCTCATACAATTGTGTGCAATAAATTTATTGTAAAATCCTATTCGTGCAAAATTATAATGTGATATATATATATATATCATGTACCCTGTCCCACCCCCATCATCTCATTATACCTTGTGTCTCGTATTGTCGCATAATTAATATGAAAAAAAAAATGATAGAAAAAGATAGATCGATATCGTTTGCTTTTATTCTACGAACAAGTAGAGTTCAAATATGATTCTGAAGTAAAATTTATTCAGTCAAATAGTAACTCGAAAACCTGGAACATATTTCCACGTGTCATTATTATTTCATTCTTTATTCTTCTTTTATATTTCTTCTATTTCTTTTAATATTTTCTTCCCCCCTTGAACCGTTTGACTGACAGACATAAAGACGAAAAAGTATTTTGCATAATCTCATATCGCTTTGTAAATTTATTCTGGAACATCCAACGACTTGTGCACGAGGCGGTTAAGAACAGAAGGTCGAGAATTTGATGCAAATGAATTCCAGTTGTCCAAGAGATAGTGATGGTGGTGGTGGGTGGTGGGTTGTGATTTTTAATAGCACGTTAAATCCATATCTTCAAATCGAAACTGTGTGATCGATTACGAAATTAAATTAACGAAATAAAACATTTCTTCTTCTTTTTCTAAATCATCTATTTAATCTTTATTATTTACACTTTTACTATATAACATACTTTTTGGAAACGTACCAACCAACGTTGCATGATATCGAACATTTAAAAGGTAAGGGGGAAAAAAAAATTAATAAAAAATGGGGAGAGGAGAGAAAGAAGAAGAAATCTGGATAACATAAAATTTAGGTTAACTACTAGGGTTAGGACAACAAAGCTGTACCTTCCTCGTCGAATCTCGCGAATCCCTGACCTATATCCCTTCCGAGGGTAGGTAACAGTTTCATGGCGTCTGCGATGCTGCAAGCTTGGAAATCGAAATTCACGGTACGTGTAGTTTTTCAAGTAGACGTTTAATTAATTTTTTTTTTTTTTTTTTTTTTTCGTTCGTACGTACGTACGTTGATATCTCATAACCACAAATAGTTATACATATATATATTCATATGTAAAGTTTAAAATTAATTGAATATTTAAAAAAAAAACTATATGAAAAGAATGAAAAGTTTTAAGTTTATCGTCACGATTCAACACTTTTCAATCAGAATTCTTCCGTCCTATTACCGTCGTCGTAATAACGTCGAGTAAACGTCACGTCCTACCTTTTCTCTAATAATTAGCTTCCGATAATTATTGGCGTTGCGGCCGATCACTGGCAGTCGTCTCTCTTCGTTCATTAAATGAAATTTTATGCTTCCTCTCTATTTCCAACAAATATGGACAAACTTTTACGTCATCATTACCAAAATGTAATATAACTTATGACGACGATGTTGTATGTTGTGGGTGGGGGGTGGTGGTGAAGGGAGAAAAATACATTATTTTCAGCTTAGCGTACAAATGAAATATTATTTTCAATATTATTCCATATATTCAATAATTTTTGTTGTTCTTTCATATACGCACAAAATGGAAATCAAAGTATTTTCTCTATCCTACGCGATATTAAAGATTATTATTATTTTTTTTGT